ACTGTGAATGCTGTGTGTTTGTAGGTAGGATTACAGGTAGACTGTACATTGTGTACTGCCTTTTTAAAATATGATATAGGACAGGGGGCAGTATATTAAGCTATAAAATAATAATGACATACTAGTAGATGGTTGGTCTTTCACAGGTTACTTGTCAAAAGGGGTGAGACCTTATGTGAGTGGTGTTGGTGGGTGAAAGGGGACCAAACACAAAACGTTGTAATATATGCTAGGAGGTTCTCTTGATACATACATGTAATGCTATGTGATACAATCTACTCAGAGTAAATAGAATTTGGACCAAAGGTAAAAAAAAAAGATATTACATTTTTTTCTGCCTTATTAAGTTCTTCTGCATACAGTATTTTAGTACACAAGGGTCCATTACAATTATCAGAAAATATTTCCGTATAATCTATGTTCAAATGTTCTTCCGTCCATCAAGCTTCATGGCTTTCATTATTTATAATCATATGCACCAGTTATAAGGACTAGTCAATTGGAGATCATCTAATGAGTGTGTTACTAAGTGTGTACAGGAATTGAATTATATCTTTTCACCCTTCCTTTGAAAGATTTAAATGTGATAGGTCCGCAAGCTGAAGTAGGCAGATTTTGACAACTACTACACTGTTTAAAGGCCTCCAATTGCAATTTCAGGATGGCAAAACAAAATTTCTGGATGAGGAAATCTGTCTGATATTGAGATTTACTGCCATTTCTTAGTACATTTCCATCATCATTTCATATAATAACTGTGACACCCAACCTTAAGTTGACCCAATGAGTAAACAGTGGTTAATTATTATGTAAAACTCAATGTTTAGAGAAGCAGCATGATGGACAAATCATTAATCTTCCACATTGATAGCATTCCAATTAATATGAATTATAGAAGCTAGGTAATATGTGACACCAACATGACACAAAAAGCATGATCTGATTAAACCTTAGTACCGGTAGGATGTCCACTTCCCTCATGTCATAACTACCAGTGTTAGATTTAGAATGGTTATAGTTGATTGCTCAGCTGACCATACAGACTGTATATATGGGTGATTGATTGCATCCAATGGCTAGTACATGTAGGTTCTTGTTCATCCCTCGTTGTTGAGGATGACCAATGACCTAGTAATAGTAACACATTAGTATACATCACTGTGAAACTGCTACAACCTGCCAATAGCCCAAGTACATGGAATACTATTTCTGGTAACACACAAGTAGCCCCATAGGATGACAAGATGTACATGTTTGAACAGGTACAGCGCTCACTGTACTTGAGTGGCCGGCCTGTGAGGCTGTTTATGTTACTATGCTACTCAGCAATGTACACCCTTGCAGAAACTATGCAATAAGTAATAAAACACTTCAAGGAGCATCTGTCTTGATGTCTTTGTTTTCCAGGAAAATACATGTAGACATTTTATGACTAGGTATTTAAGTCCACACCAATTTAATTGGTACTCTTCATTATTTATGAAGTATTATATGGTCTATTGCAACAGGTATTCATTACAAATGATGCTTGTAGCTGTCATTGATGGCATTTAGTGTGACCTCATGTAGTTTTGTTACTCCGCTCCAAGGGAGCAATGTATAGGTGTCCTTGTATTATATAAGGTGTTGAAGACAGCTATCTCTGATTGCCTATCAAGGAAACGCTGTTGTTGTGAAACTTGTATATCATGTAGCTCCGTTTAGTAGGCGTTGCCAAAAAACGCACGCGGCCACATGACATCATAACCGCACATGCGCCGTAGCGGGGTCTCCTGTTCTTTAATGGCGGCGTATGGGATATGGTGTGCCTGCTGTCCTGTTTTCTCCGTCATGTTTCCGCGCTGTTACCCCTCGTCCACACCTCACAGTTTGCCTCAGTGAAGAGGTAACATCAGAGAAACATTTGTGACAGAGAAGACTGCTCTCGCGGAGACATCCCGCCAGTTATCGAACGCAGTTCGTTCCACGTGGTGGACGACCGGCCAACTTTTCTTCCCAGATCGTACGTACCGCACACTTATTGAGTCGTGCTGTCGGGTTCACAGGTCAGTTTGAAGAGTCCGTGTTTTTGCCACGCAGGAGAAACACGCCAGAGAAGCGGTTCTGGGTTTTCGTCCGCAACTGCGAGCCGATTTGTGGACGTAGCACCTTGGGTTGGCAGCAGTTTCCGACAACAACAGCGGCTGCCCCGCAAGGGTCGAAGGAACGTGGCCGTTGCACGTTGTACGTGCTGACGTGCCAGAGGTTCCATATTGAAAGTTCTTTTGGATTTTCCACCGTCCATACGGTAAGGACACCATCAGAACACTCAACCGCACTTTACAGCAGCGTGCACCCGAACCTTGTATTTTAAGGAGGTGATCGGTGGCCAGCTGGGAAAGATTTTAAGCGTTTATTGCCGACTTAGTCGTGATATCGGCGTATCAGGATATGGCGGCTGAAGTGGCCAACCAGCCAGCGTTCAGCGGTCCTCAACAGACTAGAGAGCCCGTTTCTCCTAGAAATGTGCAAGAGGGCGGTCAGGGAGACACAACAAACAGTACTAGGACTCGTTCAGAATCTCTGGAAACGGAGAGAAGACAGCCAGCGTCCCCGGGACCCGCACAAGCCGAGGGAGAGACGGACAGAGAACAGGATGCAAACTCAGCAGACACAAAGGTCGAAGTATCTAAACCTAAGGAAATCGTAGCCGCTCCGCCACCTAAAGTCAACCCATGGACGAAAAACAGGACATCAGAAAAACAGCAACAGCCACCGCCTAAACAGCCACAGAAAAGTCCCGGAGGTAGGCCGTGACAAAGTCGCACGCGTCTCATATTTTTATAATCTTTAGAGCTAAGGAATATGTCCTGGTTGAGTGACCTCTTAATGCCCCCCCCACCCCAATGGGGGAGGGGCAGCATTATTTATCTGCGGTTTTTAGACAACGCTAGATTTAGAAGTGTCTGATTCCTTAGTTACAACTTCTTCAGCCAAATCCTCCCCCCTACGTTCAACAATAAGTGAAATATTACATGAATGGATAACTACCTGTGGTGGGAAGAACAGCAGATGCTGTAAATTTAATCAAGTACTACCATCAACTTAATAAATAAACCACTGTTGTTTAAAGGGGCAAACATCGGGAATGTACATTCCTAACTTAACTCATGAAGAGGAAAAACTAAGAAATAAATGATGTAATTGGTATGAAATTGAATATATTTGTAGTCAGTCAATTGACAACATCATTTTGTTTGGTTGACTAATGAAACTGTTACTCACTGGAATCTGAAAATTATGCAAAATACCACAAAAGTGGATGTGCCAGTTTCCATAAGTCATAAGCAGACAAGAAGGACTAACAGCTAAAAAAGACATCTAGGCCTAGGTATAACTGAAAATTTAGGAAAGCAAGATCTTGATGGGGAGTAACATGATGTGTGACCTAACTGAAATATGCAGCCATTTTGAAATACAGTATTCACAACAATAGATGTAAACAAGCCAAATTTGAAGATTTACCAACAGTAGAGGGAAACTGGTGGTATTCAAGCAACCATATAATGTGAGAATGAATGTTAGATCAAACATAAACAGTGAATACTTTGGTTTGTATACATCAAACCGGGGCACATGACACAATATCTATGAATAGTTGTTGCATCACTATTGGGTAACTACCTTACATTCCTATGTAAACAAATGTAATTGCACTTGGTAATCTTGTTTTGTTTTGCTCCCTTCTGGACTAATCACTGAGCCGTCTCAAACAAAGTCATTGTTACATGCACAATAGGATCACATCCGCTCTTATTTTGTTCCCAATGAGGGCTGAAAACTAATTTGTAAGTATGGTTTTTTGTCTCCAAATTGCATACTGATAGGCCCAAACAAAGTGTAGGTTGAAAGCTGGTGTGAATACATGTTACAAAGGTCTTGTTCAGTCGAAGTGGAATTACTTAGTACATCAATCAGCTTGAGCTTTGGTATCCATGGTCAGCTGCCTATATATATGTATGGGCTTCTATTTATAACCAGTTCCTTGAAAACGAATGGGGCTGAGTATTATTAGGCTTTAATACCAGCTCTCCAAAGCAAAGCTTCTGTGTGATCTTTTGTATTTGAAGCCTTCAAAATAGTATCCCTTTCACTAAAGCAGGTTGTTAACTGCAAAAAAAAGACAATACTTTCTAGAGTTTGTATTTTTCAGTATCTATGTTTATGGAGATCATGTTATTGTGTTATCAAAAATTCATGGTAGTAACTGCAAAATATTTGAAAATACCTTACTATACTTTACATGACTTTCAGTATGGTAATTGTTTACCAATTTGACTCCCTTGGTGGTGGTATTTAGAAAATTAGATAGTCAAACCAGATATCAGTATGTTGTTTAGACTCAACCACGTGGGGTTTTTATGACAAGAATAACAACTATTTGACAAAGGCTCATGTCTTGGAATGCGAGAACAGAATTCTCAGAAGAGGTTTATGTGCCAGAGGAAGTGCTAGGTTAGAGGAAGTGCTCAAGCATGACATCTCCTCACATAGCTCTTGCACTAGTCCCTAACATGGCATGTTCCCAAAAATGTGAGGCAATTTGTACTTCCTGTCCAGCATTAGGAGCAGTGGTTAGGGAGGTGGGCAGATGTGACAGATTTCCAGAATGATTTTGCCAGTTATTGCGTAGAACACTCACTGTGGTAAAACTATGATCGGTGAAAGGAAAGACACAGTTAAATTTCAAGTGATGATCTCCATGTAAAGTATGTTGACCATATAGGCACAATGTAATTTGGCCATATTCTTTGGCAATTGCCAAACATTTATGCATATCTGCAAACATTTATGCATATCGTCCTGTTGAAAATGAAACAGACTGTACTAAAGTAAAAGTGTACCATCTTTGGTAGTTGAACTATCTTTCTAAAAAAAAACACACAAAGATTTCCTTAGCATGCTACCAAAAATTGGTAACGAAATTTTGTTTTGATTGTTTGGTAATTACATGTAATATGATTGATTGGTTAGTCAAACAGAAAATATCACAGAGATTCACAGTAAAGGAGCAAAAAAGAAATAAGATATCAGAACAGGGTTACCTAGACAAAGTTTAAGTTTTGGTCCTGGTCTGTTCATCTCTGTAGAAATATAAGGGAAATTATTACTGTGTATGCATTAAAGCTAAAGTAAAGGGGCCGTTCCTGAAACAACAGCCAGGAGAGTGCAATGTGCCCATTTATAAATCATAACACAAGCCATTATTCATAACGCATACTCCCACCCTCCTCTGATACAGAACAGCCATAATCAGAAATTGCCACCATGCAGTATAATCATTAAATGGTAATAAAAATGAGGGCTCACATATGTCTAGACAGTGCTACCGTCTGGTAGCCTGGGTACCATCCAGATTTTGTTCCGCTACGCTCAAAAAATCTTTTCGAGCGTAGGGGAGCAAAATCCGGATGGTACCCAGGCTAACCATCTGGTAACCTACAAGGAATGATACTTTATAAACCAGACCAATTATTTTGTTTGGTGTTCTGTATTTCTGATATTTTGTGAAGCTAAATAGATACTAAAGGATTAAAAATATTACATGGTTTGCCTTGGAAACAGGGATTGTAAGAAAAATTAATACCATGTATCAGTAGAATTGACACTTCTTGTACTTTTACTCACTACAGCTCCAGTCGTACACAAAACACCCCCAAAGCCAATGGTAGTCAAAGCAGCCAACAGCAAGTCTGAAAAGGTGAGTTTTGATTTTATTTTATATACATTCGTTTCCAAACAAAAATTATTCAGTGCCTTACCAACCTGGTAAAACTATTCAAAGATGTTGTAGTGCAGCTATGTTAGCTTTATTAACTCCCTTGTTGATTCCTGAAGGACAAACACATGCAAGAAAAAAGGTCCAAAGAGCAAGGTTGAAGCATGTTACATGTATATTAGCACACTTTAAATTAGTGTAACAAAGGTGTTTTAGCCAACATTTTGGTGACCGTCTGTCATGTTCCTCAGGGCAACACTGACTGGTTCTGCTTTGCACTGCAGCTAGGTGTCGCTGCTACACTGTGAAGAATGCAGTCTCAGATTTTGTGTTTGCATTCTGGTCCGTCCAGTTTTGGTTTTAGCCAGTCGCAGAGTTAAGCTGGTAACTGATGAATGAATGATACAGGAATGAAGTATGTGTTGACGGACCATCTGTTGGTACCTTTTCTAGGCCAGTGACTTCACTGACATCACCAACTGGCCCACTCCTGGAGAGCTGTGCCAACAAACCACACCTAAGGAGAAAGTGGAGAAAGACAAGGAGGTGGCAACTGCTATGGTAGGTGATATTGTCAATCAAAATTTACATTGCGAGTTCATGCCCGAGGGCTAATTGCAAATGATAGGAATAGGACAGACAATGATGAAGCACTTAACATGTGACTGTTCTTGTCTAAAAGCTGGCTCTAAATTGTAACTTTTTTTGGGGGGGCAGTGGAAAATGAAAGAGCCCACTTTTTCTGTAATTAGCAATCCTGCAAAACCTGATATTTACTCCTAGGAAAAGTAATGTTGTGTTTTGTGTTCCTGAAAAAAATGAATGTTGGAATACTGGAACACTGGTGGAATCTTGAGTATGAAATTATGCTTTGTAAAAGTATGGTTGAACCTTAGCTTTTGCCTTCCATGCAGTGGTACTGTATGGCTTGAAATGTTGAAATACCATATTACCCAGTAGTACCCACCCATGAAGGACCAGTGTAGCCATGCAATGTTTTGAGTCTTGCACAGCGATTAATGGTTTCACACACCAGTGAGTTGACTAATAAGTTACCAGGTAGGACAGCTTAACATGTACAAAAACCCCTAGGGAAACATCAGTAGTAGTCTAGAAGGGGATTCTCAGAAGAGACCTAAAAATGAGCCCACTTTGTACACAATTTGGTCAGTATCATAGAATCATACCTTGTGTCCTGATCATTTTAAGGTACGACGAAAAGTAGTTAGGTCTAGGTGGGGCAAATTTATTCTGTGGCCTTTATGCATATTAGGCAAAGATACCCAAAATAGAAAAGAAGCAGCTTAACACACCTTTATCATTAGTTTATGGTCCTAATACATTTCAGTTTTACATCCTTTTACACAGTTCACCCAAAATCTGAAAAAGAAATTGAAAAAAAAAAAGAAAAAGAATCCCTACCTAGCTACCCTAAAATTTTCCAGCACTGTAACTGAAAGTGCAACATGTTTTTCCAAGGTGCTACCACCAGCTCCTACCTAACTCATTTTGAAATTGTTTCTTAGTCAACTTGAATAAGTCGGAGCTTGTTGTACTAAGTAGAACATTTGTAACCCTCTGTAGAAGTCTCCTGTATCAAAGAAGCCAGAGAAGGATAACACCAGTGACGACTCACTGAAGGAGAACAAACACAACGGCACCGCA